AGGAGAAACTGACGACCGCTCCGGTGTTAGTACTTCCCGACCCGGAAGGTGAATTTGAGCTATACAGCGATGCTTCCAAGAAGGGATTGGGATGTGTGCTGATGCAAGATAGGCGAGTGGTAGCTTATGCATCGAGGCAATTGAAACCGCATGAAGAAAATTATCCAACCCATGACCTTGAGCTTGCTGCAATTGTTTTTGGGTTGAAACAGTGGAGGCATTTCTTGTATGGAATGCAATTTGCAATATTCAGCGATCACAAGAGTTTGAAATACTTGTTTGATCAAAAGGAGCTGAATATGAGACAACGACGGTGGACCGAGTTCCTAAAAGACTATGATTTTGAATTGAAATATCATCCTGGCAAGGCTAATGTTGTAGCTGATGCACTGAGCCGTAAATCTGTGAGCATATCAAGCATGATGATTAGAGATTATGATGTGATAGAGAGGTTCAGAGATATTCAATTATCTAAAATCTTTCCATGTAAAATTTGTGGCTTTGAAATCACGAGCATTGAGAATGAACTGATGACCAGAATCAAAGAAGCCCAGCTGCAAAATGAAAGTGCTAGACGACTAAAAGGTCAGAGTGGTGTATCCTGCAATGATGAGGGTATACTATTATATCAGGGTCGTGTAGTTGTACCTAGGCAGTTGGCGGAAGAAGTGATGACAGAGGCTCATAAGGGTCATTTTACAGTTCATCCGGGAGCTACAAAGATGTATCAGGACCTAAAGATGAATTTCTGGTGGCCTGGTATGAAGAAAGATATTGCCGAATTTGTCTCTAAGTGTCTCATTTGTCAGAAGGTAAAGATTGAGCATCAAAAGCCTTCTGGTATGTTGCAACCTCTGGATGTTCCTGAATGGAAATGGGAGAGTATCTCCATGGATTTCGTAGTGGGATTGCCGCGAACACAGGCTAGTTATGATTCTATATGGGTGATTGTGGATAGATTGACAAAATCCGCACACTTTTTGCCAGTTCGGGTAGATTTCTCTGCGGAGAGATTGGCTAGGCTCTATGTGAAGGAGATTGTGAGGCTTCATGGGGTGCCTGAAAGCATTGTTAGTGATCGGGACCCGAAGTTCACTTCTCGCTTCTGGGGAGCATTGCAGGAGGCTCTTGGCACTCAGTTGAGACTGAGCACTGCTTATCACCCACAGACGGATGGTCAGACTGAGAGGACCATTCAGACGTTGGAGGATATGCTGAGGGCTTGCACCCTGGAGCAGGGTACTGCATGGGATCGATATCTCCCACTGGTTGAGTTTTCATATAATAATAGTTTCCATGCTAGTCTGGGTATGGCTCCCTACGAGGCCTTGTATGGTCGCAGGTGTAGGACACCTACTTGTTGGTCAGAGGTTGGAGACACAGAGCGGTTTGGATTGGATTTTGTTCAGGAGACTACTGAGCAGATCAAAATGATTAGGGATCGTCTGAAAAAGGCTCAGGATCGTCAGAAAAGTTACTATGATCTCAAGCATCGACCTCTAGAGTTTGAGGAGGGAGATCATGTGTTCCTGAAGCTGTCACCGGTTACGGGTGTGGGACGAGCCCTTGGAGTGAGGAAGCTGAGTCCGAGATTTATTGGACCCTACCAGATTCTTCGTAGGGTGGGACCGGTTGCCTACCAGCTTGCCTTACCTCCGCAATTAGCAAATTTACATGATGTGTTTCATGTTTCTCAGCTGAGGAAATATGTAGCTGATCCTTCTCATGTGGTTCAACCTGATAATGTTGAAATCCGGGAGAATTTGAAGACTCCTATTGGACCACTGAAGATACTCGAAAGAGATGAGAAGAAGCTGAGAAATAAATCTATTCCTATGGTGAAAGTCCAGTGGGAAGGAAGGACGCCTGAAGAGTCCACTTGGGAGCGGGAAGATGAGCTTCTCCGGCAATATCCTGAGTTTAAGGACAGGTACGTTCTTGATTTTGCGGACAAAATCGCTAAAAGGTGGGGTGACTATAATAGCCCATATTAATTAATTAGGAAATCAAGTGTAATTAATTAATTAAACATGTTTTACTGGGTGAAATTAAGTATGAGGCTTAATAAAATGAATCTGAGTCACTTTGGAGTTAAAAAGTGTACTCAGTGAAAATTAAGGGGTATAAATGGGTACTGTCAAAAGTACCCAAAATATAAAAATAAAAATAGTAATATTCCTAGAATAATATTCCAGACTTTTGGGTAAAGTTTGGTAATTATTGGAGTTAAATAGATAGACGAACCAATACCCGCTTAGAGCCACTTAACCTATGTTAAGTGACTTAAGTCACCAAAAGAACCCCCATTTCCCACCCAACCCGTCGCCCAGAAAGAGAAGAAGAAGAGAGAGGAGAGAGAGAGAGAGAGAGAAAGAAAAGAGGTTGAGTGATTTTCAAACCGATGGTTTTGGAGTGATTCAAAAGCCTAAATCACTTAGAATCTTCCCCTCTTTCATAATCCTAGCTTTGTTTTGAGTGGGGAGCATTGTGGAGAGAGATATTACCCCTCAAAAATTCGACCATTTGAGTGATTTTGGGGTTTTGGGAAGTTCAACCTCCATGGGAGCTTGAGGAACACTCCTTGCTTGGTTGTGTGACCATTGGTGGTAAGATTCTAACCCTTGAACCTCATGATTCCTTGAAATTTGCATGAGTTAGGGTTTGTGAATAGTAAATTGGGATTTTTATGAAATGTAGTTGAATTAGCTATGTTCTAGGAAGATTTAAGCTTAGAGCATGTTGTGAAAAATGCTAGGAACGTCATTTAATCGGTGGAAATGAGCCTAGATAGTCATTTGATAATTGTTCATAATATTGGAAAATTCATGCTTGGATTGGTTAGTATTCTAGCATGTTGAACAATTAGTGAGTTGAATGATTGATTGGGTCCTTGTGATGTCTAGGATTGAGACATTTGGACCAACCGTGAGTGATCAACCATTGGAGCAAGCTATGGAGCTTGATTAGCTCCATTGGATAGGTGAGTTCATGCTTATGTTTGGTATGAATTGTATAGCTTGGTTGATAGCTATGAGATGTTATTGGATGCAATATGTGTTAATTGCATTAAACCTTGTGTAGGTTTTGTTTGAGAAGTGAAGTATTGTAATTGACTGACTGTGGAACCTGTTGGTGGTGAACAAAGGTTGACTGAAGCATTGAGGTAAGCCTTCGGACCTTGGGTGTAATTCCCTTGATTGTTCCACCAAGCCCTGAAAGGGTAGTGGTGATTATAGTGTATATAAATGCAATAAAATAGTGTAATGCTTTGTTATACGTATGTGTATGCATTTGGTGTGGCATAGGATGGTGTTTCCCTATGTTGGTATGTGGCATGACGATGCGTAAATCATACTTGGTAGTTAGCTGGCCAGTAGGACTATTTGCATCTGAGTTTCCTTAGGACAGCTTGAGAGCTCGAGGGATTTCTCCTGGAGATGTATTGCACTTTGCATAGATATGTATTTACTGCATTATTATTGTTATTGCTATTACACTGATATGGAACTGTGGGGTGGAGATGCTCCAAGGACCCCTGGTTTACTGGATATATTCGTATATCTCACCCCGTGTTGTGGGGACCCCCTTTCAGGTAAGGATGCTGCAGGAGCCTCTGGTGGCAAGTGGCCATATCTGGATTATGCATGATATATGGCACTTCTTTGAGTTTATGCATGCCTTTTGTAGTTGACATGTATAGGATTTTATTTTGAAAGCCCATGATCATATGTATATCTTGATTCATTGGATGAACTTAGCCTATGCTCATGCCTTTGGTTACACCTATTGTTGATGGGAGCCAAGGGAATGATCATAGTGTTTTGTAAGCTAAGTTCTATGATTTGTAAAAGATATGTAATGTAAATGATGCCTACTTGGAATTCAATATATGCATGCTTGTTATGTATTGAGTTGTTGAATTGGTTGGGCTGAAAATCAATTAGGTACCCTTTTGTTTAAACTGGTAAACGATGAGAAAACAAAGGTCATGCTGCCCAAATTCTAGCTAAATCTCATGAGGAGAGGTTGGATGAGGCTAGGATTTAGTTTTGGGGCATGAACAATTGGGGTATGTAATGGGGATGCATTTTCCCCTAGGCTTGGACTTGAGAAATGTGGGGATTGGAATTCCCTGGCAGCGCGCTTAAGCGCCCAGGAGCGCGCCCAAGCGCCCTGCTGCCCCTGCGAGTGCCAATGCATTCTGCCTCCTCGCGCTGGAGCGCCCAAGTGGGGGCTTAAGCGCCCAGGATTGCGCGCTGGAGCGCCCTGGCCCGCGCTTAAGCGCCCTTAGCCACTGTATGAGGAAATGCTTCTGTCTCTGCGCGCTAAAACGTCCCAGTGGGAGCTTGAGCGCCCAGGCTAGCGCGCCTGAGCGCCCTGTTGCGCGCTTAAGCGCCCATCCACACTGGAAATGCTGATGCTTACTGCCTCCGTGCGCTTAAGCGCCCAGATGGAGGCTTTAGCGCCCGATAGCGCGCGCTTGAGCGCCCGGTAGCGCGCTGAAGCGCGCTGGGCCTGTGACCAACACTCTCTTGTGTTGCTTCAAATTGTCCTAACTTGGACTACAGTGCTCCGATTTGAGCACGGTTTGAAGCCACGGGTAGCTAATGAAGAAACCTACTATATAATAGAAGTATTGAATTAAACAAGAAGTAAATTAATGGTTTAAAAATGGGAAATGAACATGATGTTAAGCTTAATTTATCTGTTTCCGCAAGGTAATATGGTTATGATCACGAAATTGGGTATTATAAGTTCGGTACGTTTTAAAATGAAAAAATTATCCGGATTTTAATTGAACCCATGTGATTGTAACTGCGCTTAATATCATAATGCGATGTTAACAAACCGGTTCTAGAACGGGGTGTTACACTTAATATCATAATGCGATGTTAACAAACCGGTTCTAGAACGGGGTGTTACAAAGTGAAGGATAAAAAAAGGCAAAACAAAGAAGACAAGCAATAATTGGGCATTAAGGCAAAAAAAATTGGAGAAGCTCAGAGCAAGTACATTGTTCTCATGTTGTGAAGTCGATCTGCAAGCTTGATGAGCACAACACGTGGATCATCAACCATTCCCAAAAGCATCACTCGTAAATTACTTGCCTAATAGATTAAGAATGCAACCATCAGAATACTCTCTGCTGATATTTGTTTTACAAATCTAAAAAGGCATATAGTTTCACTATTATCTTGACCAACCATCAGATGCATTATAATGACAGATACAAAAAGTTGTCACATCAACCTCTTTTGTAGAAGATTATTGTCATAAAATTAAAAAGATTATGTATAAATTTTTCCCGACTTCAAAGCTTCTACAAGGAAAATTATCAAATATCCATAATACAGCAAGAGGAGAATATGATACATTCTTCACTTCACATATTGATCTTTGCAGTGTTTAAACCTATGTTAGGCAGGCATTCTTTTCTTTCTATTTTGTTACTAATTACTAACACAACCAAATTATATTCAAGAGTCTCAGTAGCTAAGCGGTACATGTCAAATATTGATGTTATACCTCTTCTTCGCCAAGGACACCCTGGCTCACACTTACCCTCCGATGTCTGCGTAACAGCTGCAAAATATAATGTAGTTATTAAATAATAGAGTAATGAAAGAAAACAGTAATACCCACCAGAGTTGTTAGGAGAATTAAGTTACAAGCATCTAATATACAAATATGAAAAAGCAGAATACATGTGATCACTCATCACTAATCTCTTGAGGTATTGGATCATAGGTATGTGTTGGAAACTGCCTATTACCATTATCTTAGGGAAGAGTGCAGAGAAGCAATCAAGGAGAATTGAATGATTGATGTAACAGATTGCATGAGAGACAATCAAGGGAAATTGAGTGATTTGTGTAACATATTTCCAATAAGGCAATCAAGGGAAATTGGGAGGGAAAGTTGAACCGTATACCACACTAGTAATGATAGCATACTGCTGGTACAGTATTCTCAGAGAAATATTACACTGGATTTACCCCAACTAAGAGTGTTTTGATTCAGTATGCAATAGCTATGCGATAAATGTCAGAGATTAACTCTCCTAGAAGCTTAATATATTATGTGCATACTTGGAAATGGTTTACAGATCTCCAATACCTTGTACTGAAATTTATTTTCATTATAAAGAATGGGCAACAAGAATGAACTTCAGACAACTTGGTTATAAAGGCTCTAATAACACAATCCAAAAGCTTAAGATTAAATTGTTAGGTGAAGGGATTACAAATACTTTATATTTCTGTGTAACATATAAAACTATTATCTTTATTTCATCCTCTATCAAGGTGTGTAGTAAATTGGAATCTAACAATTAGCTAAAGATGGAAAATTATAATGAGCCACCTGCTTCAAGATTAAAAAAATATTAGGAAGATATTCTTTATTCTTTATGATACCTGATTTCTATGACTTAACCTTGAAACACCGGCTACCAATTTGACCACATCATCCCCAAACTCTGCCTCAATGTTCTGCAGACTTTGGCATGTGTCATCAACCACATCATGTAGGATACCGGCCACTACCGTGTCAACAGCCTGAAACAGAGTATCAATATCTCAAAGAACAGTTAAGGAAACATGTTCTGACATGTAATGCATGCATCACAAAAACACAAAAGCTAATTGTAGCATAAAAGTTAACATGTGTTAAATAATAGTATCATACTAAATGCAGTTCAGAGTAGGAAAGGTTCAATTCAGCTGTTTCAGAAGCAACGTCAAAGGTTAAACCTGGTACGAGGAAAAACATTGATTTCAGATGCTTTTCAATTAATTTGGAAATGGAGATGCGCAAGAAACATATCGTAGACTTGGTGGAAACAGCAGAAAAATTTAAAAATATTTGTTTCCCCAGAAAATATATATATATCATATATTATCTAATAACTAATATTATCAAAGCTAAAGTCATGAACAAATTAAGATAAATGACATTGATATGTATCAACATAATTGATAATACTATGTCAAGTTTAATGTTTCACTAACGTGTTCCTTAAGAATTGTTTAACATTATAAAAGAAGGCCTAGTGCATATGTTTGTTGAATTATATGGTGTAAGCACAAATTTATGCGTTCTGATAAATATAAATATAAGATTGTCAATTATATTCCTGGCTAGAATTGTAATCAAGAGTAAACCCATTCATTTGTTCCAGAACGGTATACATTATCCAGACTATGCTGCTAAGGAAAAAGGAAAATTCCAAGTGGCTAAAAAATTTGAAAACCAACAATCTTTATTTCATAGAGTGTAGGAGGAAAAGAAGTCAGCCAATGACTTCTTGTTTTCCTGGATAACAAATTCAGTCACTTTGAAACTTTAATAACTAATCAGAGGAGTTCATACTCGTTTACCACTTGATGGAACCAACGCTGCCAAAATTCTTCCTGTATGGATACAGTGTGTTAAATAAGGGTCTCCTGTCTTCCGCATTTGGCCACGGTGTGCTTTTCTTGCAAAAGCTATAGCCTTCTGTACCTGCCTTCACACAGAAGGTATTTTAATGATATAACAAGAGAACATACAAATCCTAACGCAAGTAGAGATATTAAACCTTTGCATCATTAAATACAGGATAGCCAGTAACATCTACTCCATCCTGCATAACGGTACCTGCATGTTATTTAATTTTATTTTATTAACATAGGAACATGGAGGAGGAGGAGGAGGAGGAGGATAATTTTTATTAATAAGAAAACTAACTAGTAGATCCTATCATGTAGTGACAGAACCAGCAATAGAAAATTTCTAACGCATGCAAATAACTACTGATTATTCATTACATTCAATCTCAGCACTATTTGATGTTGAAACGTGACGATCCACCTCAAGCTTGTTTTGTTACAAATGAAAAAAAGAAGAAATACATCGTAAACCGAGCCTATAGCCAAAGTCTTCAATCCGTTAATCGTTGAAGGAAAAACAAAAATCATATACAAGCTACTCTTTCATTTGGCGTCACAAACCATAAGTGACTCTAATGAATCAGAATCAGCGCTCCAACCTCTCTCTCAAGTTCAGGTGTGACTGTGCAAAAGAGCGAAACAGAAAGAGAAGAAAGCAGAAAAAGAAGATAAATAACCTGGTTGTTCCTGCAGTTTGGGCCATAAGAAATCAACCTTGGTGGAAAGACAAGCACCGGAAGCAATTGCGACGGCAGTGACGGCCACCTGTGTGATGGCGGAGGAGACGGCGCTATGGACGCAGGAGGCCCTGGCAGCAGCGGCGATTACATTATCGTAGGCTGGAACAACGATTTGGTCGAGCATACACCGAAACCTAGAACGATGAGGTTTGAAGAATCGGAATCTGTGAAGAAATGGAGACGACTTTTGAGCTAACATTGTTGAGCGTTGGCATGAGAGCATGCTCATGCTCATGCTGTGTGGTGTGACTACGAGTAGTTAAAGTTAGTGATGATGGCAGAGGCAGTTATTTTCCCGGGAAAATGTATATGTATGTGTGTGTGTGAGAGAGAGAGAGAACGAGTGGTTGGAAAGGGAAGGCAAATAAAAAAAAAGGAATCCATGGTGGGTGTTGATTTTCTCATTGAAATCTCATTTTGTCTTTTAGTGCGTCCGTTACTACTTCTACTTGGTTATTCGGTTTCCAACAATCCTTCTTTCAGTGGATGGATAGGACTTAAGAGCTAATGGCTACAGTAAAAAGTTTAATTTCATTTAAAATAAATTTTTTGTGAATATATTTTATTTAAGTAATTTTGAAAATAAAAATAGTAGATAAATAGTACATAAATTTCAGCAAATTTTTCAAAAATTCTGAATTATATGGGAAATAATGAGAGGTCTTGAAATTAAGAAAATATAAAAATCTGCTTTACATACCAAAAACTATATAAATAGCAAAGAGCTTCTCCCCCTACGTCACTTACGCCTCTTTATTTATGTACGCCTCTTTATTTATGTAAGAGTAAATATCTTTTTTGATCCTCAGTAAATTTTACGATGCTCATTTTATTTCCTAACAAATAAAATTTTTTATCGTGATCCTTAATAAATTCAAAATAGACTCATTTAGTTGAAATCATGTTCCTTCACAAATTCAAAAAAGATCCATATTAGTCCCTAAAAGGACTAAAATTGGTCTATTTTGAATTTTTTAAGGATCACGATAGACCTTTTTATTTACTAGAAACTAAAGTGGGCATCGCGAAATTTATTGAAGACCAAAAAGAGTATTTACTCTTTATTTAAATAACAAACAACAAATCATTATAGAGACTTTAATCATTTGACTTGGGTAAGATGACTCTTTCCTTTTTTTAATAGCTAATTAGCAAGCATATTGTGTATTGTACAAGTATTTTAAAGTTAAATAAATTTGATTACCAAAAAAAAAGTTAAATAAATTTAAAAAAATTATAGATTAAAAGAAAAGATATTTAATAAAAATAGGGTTATATTGACTATTTTATTTTACAAACTATATTATGTCTTGCCAGTAAGATATAGTGTAATTTGTAAGAGTTTATAAATAAAAAGTTTATAAATATAACATGGGGCATGATACTTATCACCAAAAAAGTTTACCACTCTTACAACTAATTTAATCATCGCTGATTTCCGTCAATCTAATATTTATAATTTATTGAGAATTAATAATTAATTAATAAATGTGACATAATAAATGTTATTAATTTCCAATAAATTATAACCGTTAAATTAACCGAAATCAACGGTGATTAAATTAGTTGTAAAAGTGATAAACTATTTTGGTGGTAAGTGAATCCTTTCCCTTATAACATTTTCCATTAATAAACATAAGAAATGTATACACAATAAGCCACTCGTGAGAGATTTTAGTAGTTTATATTAAGTAATGTGATTCATCTTCACATATATCCAAAAAAAAAAATTATACTTAATTAATTTATGCAAAAACACGATGTGATCTAATAACAATAATAATAATAAAACACAACGAAAGTTGTTGGTATAGCAAAAAGTAACAGAGAATCAAAATGTGAAGGCAAGAAGCAATGATTGAGAATTAACTAACACGCAAGTGTGCCTTCGAACAAGTTGTTTGCGTTATCATGGAAGAAAAAGAAAGAGAGAGAGACCCGCAAATTGAATGAACTCTGAAAAGGAAAATGACTCATCTCCAACGGCTGGGGAATTGATTCATGATGATAGGTTTTGAGCGATCAAATCTGAATCTGAAGCAAAAGCATCCATTGTTAAGGTTTTTCTATTATTGTGTTTCTCCGCAACTCTTGCGCCTCCTCCATATGCTTCGCTGCAACTGTTTTCCTCGGAAGTGGAATTCCAATAATACCATCACTCTCCCTCAATCCACAATCTTTTCTCTTCCCGCTCCGCTTCCTCAATGGCCTCACCCTCAAGGTAAACACCGTTTTTTATTCTCTCAGGAGGCGTTTGGTAGGAGGCGTTTGGTACAGGAGAAATTTTTATTTGTCCGGGAATCTCGATTTTCAAAAATATGATTTTTGCGTTCAGTTTACGATAATATCTGAAAATTTAAAATTTAAAAAAATTCAGTTTCCGGGAATCCCTCAAAATTCCGCGTACCAAACGCTAACTTACATGTTTAATTAAACTTGTCTTTTTCATTCATAATTGTAATTTTATCTCTTGTCCTTACTATATGCACCGAATTCCACAATGCTCTTCATATAATTAATAGTATAGTTTTACAATCACCATTCATCAAATCTTAGGAAATTGCCTTTGGTATGAAATGTACAAAGCTTGTATCTATTTTGATGGTTATCTTATTCTTATCCTAAGACAATGTTGGAACATGTTTTGTAACTTGTGTCTCTAGATTAATCCTTTATTGCAATTGTACATGTGATTACCAGGACAAGGTTTTGCTTCTGGAATTGTAAATCTTGGTGAGATACAAGTGTTCAGGGTCACCAGGTTTGAGTTTGTTTGGAACAGCAATGTTATGGTAGATATGAGGAAAGCTGTTGCATTCTATAAGCCTGTGGGAGTACCTGATGGGTTTCATATCCTTGGTCACTATTGTCAACCTAGTTACAAGCCTTTTTGGGGTTTTGTACTTGTTGCTAGGGAAGTGGAAACTTGCTCATCCGAAACAACTAACATTTGCAACCAAGATAAGTTACCAGCTCTGAGAAATCCCCTTGATTATACCCTAGTATGGTGTCCCAATGCAGGAAGCAAGAAAATGTCATCTGTTTCTGCTTACTTTTGGTTACCCCAGCCTCCTGAAGGTTACAGGGCACTTGGCTACTTGGTTACTAACAAGCCTGATAAGCCCGATTTGGATGAAATGACTTGTGTTCGTGCTGACCTCACTGATAAATGTGAACCTTACAGCCTAATATTTGATGCTGGCTCTGTAATTCCGGAGTTTCCATTTCGGGTGTGGAGTTTGAGACCGCAGGATCGTGGCATGCTGGGGAAAGGAGTTTCAGTAGGTACTTTTTTCTGCAGTAGTTATTGGAACATGGAAGAAGAGCTACCAGTTGCGTGCTTGAAGAAACTAAATCCTGAGCTACCAGCAATGCCAAACCTCCACCAAATACATGCACTGATAAAGCATTATGGTCCTACTGTTTTCTTTCATCCTGAGGAAGTTTACTTGCCTTCTTCTGTTGATTGGTTTTTCAATAATGGAGCCTTGTTGTACAGAAAGGGCGTGCCTACAGGAGAGGCCATTGATGCAACTGGCTCAAATTTACCAGGTGGGGGTACAAATGATGGGGAGTTTTGGATAGATTTGCCAAGTGACGATCGAAGGGATTTTGTCAAACACGGGGACTTGAGAAGTGCCAAACTCTATGTTCATGTGAAGCCAGCCCTTGGTGGAACTTTCACGGACATTGTAATGTGGGTTTTTTGCCCCTTCAATGGACCCTCCACTCTGAAATTTGGAATTAAAAGTATAGGATTTAGCAAGATTGGAGAGCATGTGGGGGACTGGGAGCATGTTACACTTCGTATATGCAACTTCAATGGAGAGCTTTGGAGTATATATTTCTCACAGCACAGTGGCGGTAAATGGGTGGATGCCTATGACTTGGAGTATATTGATGGCAATAAAGCTATTGTGTACTCATCAAAAAGTGGACATGCGAGTTTCCCTCATCCTGGAACCTATATCCAAGGGTCTTCAAAACTTGGGATCGGCATTAGGAATGATGCTACTCGTAGTAATTTGTATGTGGACTCAAGCATTCACTACGAGCTTGTTGCAGCTGAGTATCTAGGGGATGTTGTCACAGAGCCTCAATGGCTGCAGTTTATGAGAGAGTGGGGCCCTAAAATTGTTTATGGTTCAAAAACTGAGCTGGATAAGATAATAAATGCTCTTCCTCTCAGGCTTCGAAATTCATTCGGTAACTTACTTAAAAAGCTTCCGGTGGAGCTGTATGGTGAGGAAGGTCCTACAGGACCAAAAGAGAAAAATAACTGGATAGGAGACGAAAGATGGTGACTCTGTGCATTGGTCAAATCGGCAAGTTCTAGGCCAGAAATGTTGTAATTGTATGTGACAGCTATCTGTATTGTACATTTATAGAGAGAGAGAGAGAGAGAGAGAGAGAGAGAGAGAGAGAGAGAGAGAGTTCTGGTATAGTTGTGGGTGGTGCTTGTAATCATATATATATATCATTACATGAGTATTTTTGCACTGACTATATGCAAGCGTGATTTGTTATCCACACCAAAAAAACAATTTGGCATGAATGTAAATAATTCATTGAGAATTCTTGCAGTTTGTTCGTGTTCCATCGTTGCCAAAAAACAAATATTTGCTCTTGGTGAGAGTCGAACTCAAGACCTCCCGCTTACTAAACGGGTGCTCTAACCAACTGAGCTACAAGAGCTAGATATAATTATCAATTATATTTATTTCAGAAATCTATAAATTATGATTTATTTGATACTTGACATTCATTTGGTAATTAAATACTAACAAGCTCATTTAATTTAAGAACAGTATTATAAAGATAAAGTTGCAAATTACCCGAATTTAACTTTGACTTTTGATAGATAGTGCCCAGAAATTTTAATTTTAGTAAATTACCTGCTTGAGCTTTAAAGATTGATTTTTAATCGTGATACACAGCCCATAAAAAGCTAGAAGTCTGTACACAGGTGAATAGGATAGAGATTTAAGTAAAGAACAATTTCCTGAAGTACAAAAATATTTCGATAGACGAAAATGGTATTTTATGACAAGCAAATGAAAATTAAGAAAGTAATCGCAACTACGGAACTGAAAATGAATCATGGTAAGATAAACTCGTGATATTTTGGTCAGAATCACGTATTTTTTCTGAAATCAAGTATCCGCCAGAGTTTTGGACGTCACACCCACACAGAAAGAAAGGAAAAGAGAAGGATGGGGAAAATCCAAGGGAAAATGAACCAACGATCCAGTATCCACCACCACCTATAAGGTAGTCATGCACGTAATACAGGGCATCAATAATATACCAATAAATTTCTTGAGCCTCTAGTTAGTTTTCATTCGTCATGCTCAAACTTCTGTACATCGAATTAAATTCACATCACATATCTAAGTACCCTGAAAGTCAAAGCATCTATATACGTCATCAGCTTTAGACGTAGCCTAATGAAACCCAAAAAAATTGATTACAATTCTACATCATCCTTGAATGAAACTGGCCAAACCCTACACATTCGTCAATGACAAAGGCCAAAATACCTGCACTAATACACATAATGTAATGGAACTATAAACGGGAAGGCCACTTATCAACGACAGTAAGTAAGATAGTTCAAACCTGGACAATTAGAAGGATGAGTTTCCTATTGAAGAATATCCAGCAGCTTTTCTCTCCTTCAGAGTTGAAGCCAACCAGTCCAAGCCCTCATAAAGGCCTTCTCCCTTAAGTGCACAAGTGCCTTGCATGTGCCATTTTCTATTCCTTAGTTCAAAGAGACCTAGTCCTTCGCATACTTCCATTGGCGTCATTGCCCCTCTCTAGAAAAGAAAAAGAAAATATTAACAATCATAACCACACATGAGCTCAAGGTAAAACTCATTGTTTGAGGAGAGTTTTTTTTTTCGAGAAGAGAAAAAGTCTGCTAGTATTACAGGGTATTAATAATTGTATACAGATACAGCGCAAATAAACAAGCACGGGTCAAAACGATTTCAGAAGTTTTAATTCAGCCATCTGCTTGGTATATATATCTTGCAAAAAAAAATTAACGATTCCAGAAGTTCATTTCAGCCATCAGCTTGACACATCAAGCATTTTTTTTAACCTGTTTATATCTCCAATAATCGATCAATCTGTCTAGGAGTAATATTCCATGACTCTGAACAAAAGCCTGCAATTGGATTGGTGTAATACACCCAAGAAGAAGGCAGGCCAAACAAATGACTCCATATAGTCATCCAAAATGAGATGTAGGAATTTTATACGGCCATACGAGATGAGACTAGAAGTGCTGATGATATTTGAATGACAGAAAATTCATTTAAACCTTTCATTGAGGATTGGATTGGTGTGCTATAACTCCAGAAGGCAAGCTAGCTGGAGTGTCAGACCCTCTAGAGGAGAAGATATCAGGAGGACTACTTGGAGAATAGATAACGAGAAGGCTCTAGGATCTTATGGTTTTACTTCTGGTTATTTTTAGGGCTGTGGGAATATCATTAAAGATCAAAAGGTGGGTGATCTTTCTTGGCTGGATGGTTTTATAATTTATATCTCTGAACATGGCTCCTTAGCAAAAGCCTTTTGGGTTTGAAGTATGCATAAAGCACAATCCTAATTTCACCTTGTGCTGAAATTTAATTATGAAGAATGGGGACAGCATGGAACAAACTTTTGAACACTTGTTCTAAGAGGCTTTGATACCATCCAAACATTTAAATCATCCTGAAAACTTAGGTTGTTAGGGTGCAAGATAGCCTATGAAGAATTTTATATCTAACACATAAGATTGAAGATAGAAGTAATAACAATTCCGAGAACTTCTAACTGATCTCATATGATTTTAATTGTTTCAATGAATTGAGTAATATAAAGACCTAATGGTAATATTATTATTACATACTTCACACGCTAAGATACCAGAATTTCCTATACTCTTAGTGTATTCCGTGAACAATGTCATTATGTCAATCAATTACATGCTTTGGCTCCTATGTGATATTCAGTCACAGAGATAACCTTACTATCAGGTCATGCAGCCCAAAGAACACAGATAAATAAGTAACAAGGACATACCAGATCCTGTTTGTTGGCAAACACCAAGATGACACTATTGAGCATAAATGGGTCATTTATGATTGCCTGCAAGTAATCCACGAATCAATTCAGAGCTTGTTTAGAATAACAATATATTTAGTGAATTTTCATTTTTTTCACCTGAAATTCCTGCTTTGCTTGACCAATTCTCTCACGGTCCAGGCTATCAACAACATAAATCTGCATAAATGCACACATTAGCATATAAATATAAAAAACCTTGCTACCTAATTTTCACAAAACAACCAGCATAGCACAACTTTTCTTTTCACTAGATAAAAGCATGGAAATTAATTCTTACCAGACCATCTGTGTTGTTAAAATAGTGCCTCCAAAGTGGCCTTAATTTCTCTTGACCTCCAACATCCCAAACTGTGAAAATAACATTCTTATATTGAACTTTCTCCACATTGAAACCTGCAAGGAAATATAAATTTAAAAGCCTAGATAAACAACAAAGAGACTCATTTGACAGCCAAAATCAACAGGTCATGTCAACGGTTGAATTTGGCAGCCAAAAAATCCTTACTGAAATGAATGATAGCAATAGTTTGACAAAAGGGGGAAAGCTAATGCTCATAACATGCGAAATCCCCACAACAAACAGTGCATTCGATAATGTCTCGACAGAAATACCAAAGAAGGTAACAGTACAACATCAAGTTGGATAAAAGAACTCAAATGTGACCTTGTGTGACAAGCGAACAATTGAAACTATTAACATGTAACTACAATCAATAACAAACTATTAACATGTCCATCTCTAGAGCTTGCAAAAAAAATCTTAGGATGCAAGCATTGAAACCACCAACCACTAAAGCTAGCAAAATTAGGAAAGTACATATAGAACAGAGACAAAAACTGCCAGCATATGGCTCAACTGTTCTTCACATCTGCAGTATAAATCAAATTTTTATAGAACTTTTGTTTGTTCTGCCAAACCTCTATTTTTGCACAATGAGAATTACTATACCCACATATCAACTTCAAGAGAATGAAGAGGGACTTGGTCAAGTTTAGTGGAGCGGTTAAAGACCCCAGAATCCCATCTCAGGGACAAAACCAATTCCTGAAACAAATATTGGGTGTTTCGTAATCAATGAAAATGACATTAACTTTTGTAAAAACGTGATACTGGTGTTTCAACCTGGGGAAGAATCTGATTTTGAGAAAGAATTACATATTGTTAATATTTTGTATAATATCAAAACTATCCATTTTTATTCACTACTAAAACTCCATTTTCTTTTCATCTACCACTGGTAAAAATAGTTATTTCACAATCAATTACTGCAAATGTAATTCTTTGAAAATTTTGAAAGCTCAGCAATTCTAAACACACTCGTCTTGTGGCTTTTACCCTATGTCATAAAAGAAACAACCACAGTGACTTATTTCCAAACAAACTTTTGTTCTACTAGATGAGTTGAAGCTCGAAAGATGATTGCTTATATGTTTGTGTAGATTCAATTCACTTATACCCACTGCTTATTTCCCTACCAATCAAGAGGGGAAATTCTCTTTTCATCACAAAAAACTTAGTTCTACAAAAAAACAACTTCATTATCAAAAAGCTTCACATGTCTTCACCCAGTCAAGGAAGCAAGTATACAACTCTGTTCATCATATTTATACAAAGAAAGAAACAAAAAACCAAGTAGATAACTGAGGAGGATAACATAGCCTCAACATCCTTTGGCGGGTATCAAGACAGAAATAACATAATTAGGCTTAACACATGGATGCAAGATGAACAAAGCAATAAATATGTTTAGGATTTTACAAATTAATAAAGCATTTAATAATGAACTTCATAGAATAAGACCCACCAATTGTAGGAACAGTAGATAAAACTTCTCCAATGTGAAGCTTGTACAGTATGGTTGTTTTGCCAGCAGCATCAAGACCAAGCATCACAACCTGAACCCGATCAGGGAAACAATAGAGTAAGCATATAAGTTTCATTAACAAGAAGAAGAAGAAGAAGCTAGAAAGGGTACCCGCATCTCAGAGTTGCCGAAGAAGGTGTCAAAGAGCTTCCGAAAAGCTTGACCCATGCCTGTGGCTGTCTCTATGCGATCAACGACTTTGCAGCTTTCAATTTGGATTATCGATTTTGCAAATTGTACTGAGAATACGAAACAGAGAGAGAGAGAGAGACTTTCAACTTTCAACTTTCAATTCGAACATTCAACAAAGAAGGAGGTAGCGTTGCCTTTTGCTTTCTTCCTTCTTTCTAAGAACTTTCTTTCTTTGGTGGAACACGGAACAAATTCACCAATTCAAACCAAACATAATACATAATTTTTATCTATATTTTAAGGTTCGATTTTGCTGCACTTAATGCAGTCAATATAGATAAATTACTTAACAGCAGTCAATATAAATAAATTATTTACATTGAATAAAAAATATGTAATTTTAAGGCAAAAATCAAGATATAAGATATTTTTATAATTATAATTTATTTTAAAATTATTATAATCTTTCTTATTATAATTTTTTAATCTTTTAACATCGTTTTTGAGAGTGAATATAAATAATTTATCTATATTCAATGTAGAAACATTAAAGCCATATTTTAAGGGAAAGATGTTTTTTTCGAAGGACATATACTTATGTCATATTAAGAGAAAAAAGATACAACTTATTATTTTTTATTTAAATTTTGAATTTTTTAAAAAAATATCCAGTTTTCTCATGATTTCTATTGCTTATATTTTTTTCTCATTTAAAATGACAAAATTTCATGTGCTTTAAAAGCACAAATACTAAATCTATATTTTAAACTAGTATTATATTTTAAAATTTATTCTTATTCACGGTATAATATTAGGGTTTTATGTTTCTCGTTATATGAGATAAAATTATCTCATACACATACATAAAAGTGTGTAGACCATGTGAAGAGAAGTGAAAAAAAATATATAAGTCCACATATTTTTATGTGTATAAGAGATAATTTTATCTCCTTATAATATGAGAGACATTAAACTCATAACATTATGTTGTTGCATGTTCAAATTGAAAGTTTTTAATTTAGTTTATAGAAGTATAATTGTTTTTAATTTAGTTTATATCAAAATACTCTAAACATTTTATTATTAAGAGATTCTTATGTAGTTATTGTTAATTAGAGCGATCAATTTGAAAATGATTGTCACATGTAAAGAATAATAGAGACGAAGTTAAAGAAATTGAATGTGCCAATTTGCAAAAAATGACAAAGTTTAGGATGATTCTGTACGTTTTTCCTTTGTTTCAATAAATCCAACTATTGTTACAATAAATCCCTTTGTTGGTAAAAACACCAAAAACAAAAATCCCTTTGTAAATTTGAGATTAAAGGGGTGTATTGGATTCAGATTTTAAATAATTTTAATGGATTAGTTTTGGACAAAAAAATCATTGATACTCAATTAGGATTTTAAATGATTGTAAAAAAAGTCACGTGCTATTCGATTAGAATTTTAAAAAATTATTTTAGAATTCGTCCAAATCCGATGATATTCAATCAGGATTATAAACAAAGAAAAAATAATCTTGTGGTATTAAAAAATCTGACGATTTTAATGGATTTTTTATTAGGGTGATTTTTGTGAGACTTTTTAGCATAGTTTTAAAACTGGACCGACCCGGCCGGATCGACCCGGAAACCGGTAAGCCGGTCATATAACCGGTCTGGTTGAAACAACGGACCGGCCATGCATCAGAACCGGTGCGACTCGGTCCGACCAAGCCAGTTTTCATAAAAACCGGTGACCCGGCCCGGTCCAAAAAAAAATCTCAATTTTTGTTTTTTAAAAAAAAAAAATCATAATAGCCATATTTGAATATTTTTTTGCTTGTTGACTTACATAAGTTATGTACCTACAACCAGTGGCGAACCCACTTGCGGGCATTTGCTCGCAAGTGCGGACATAAAAAATTTTATTGCAGTTTTTTATTCTTTTTCTTGGTTGCATGTTCTTATCTGTCTCTTGGTTCAATATATATGATAGGGGTAAATACCCTTTTAAATCCCTAACAAAAAATATGGTCCCCATTTTAATCTGTTACAAAAAAAAATATTCTCGAGGTCCCTAAAAAATTTAAAGTGAATCAATTTAGTTAAAATCGTGATCCTTCACAAATTCAAAATAGACCTACATTAGTCCCTCAAAAAGACCAAAATTGGTCCACTTTGAATTTCATAGAAACCAGGTGACTAATTTTTTTTTTATAATGGACTAAATGGGGACCAAACTTTTTGTTAGGGACGAAAAAAGATATTTATTCTTATATTAGTTAGCAACGTAGCAACGTACGGAAATGATTAAAACAACGTAGCAACACAAATTGATTAGAGAGAAAACTTATTCTTCCTCCCCTGTCACTGTCAGTCTGTCACATACCCATTCTCATGCTCTCTTCATCCTTTGTTTCCTTTTTCATTTTTATAAAAAGAAAAGATTGATTGCAGGTCTGACATTCTCAAATAAGTTAATATCTAGAGACGACTGTGATTTTGCTTGCCTTCTGTACAAGTAGTGTTGACTTTTTTATTCACCACTATAAAATAGAAAAATGATGTATGGATGTACTGGAGTATATTCTCATATTTGTTTTGGAGGATTGGTAAGATTTAGGGGAGGGAGATAATTGGTCAAACTATTGCCTGCAGCTTGTTATGGAAGCAACTAGATTATGAGCGGGTATAAGCGTTGATTTAAACTTTTTTTACACAAAAAAAAAATTCGAGGGCGCTGCCCTCGAACCCCTGCCACTAAATATGCGGACATACAATTTTTTTCCTGGGTCTGCCACGGCCTACAACACTAATATTATCTTCTTCTTTTTTTTTTATAGACACAACACTAATATTATCTCAATTATGTATTATGCATAAAATTTTGAATTAATTTATAGTTAGAGATGTCGTTTTCTGAACCTAAAGCCCCGTATCACGATCATTATATTTTTGTTTGATTTTTTATTTGATAATAATATGTGATTTATTATTTTTTATTAAAATATTTGAAATTTTTATCATTTTTTTAGATATTTGAGTATGTTTATAATTTTTTAATATAAATTATAAAATTACATATAATTACCGGGTCATGCGGTTGAACCAGTGACCCAGTGATTCGGTACCTCGACTGAGTCAATGACCGGGCCGATTTTAATAACATTGCTTTTTAGTAAGAAATTTAAACATGTCTCTCTCTCTCTCTCTTAATCTCACTCTAACTCCTGAGATTTCTATATTGCAGTATCTTTTACTTCTTTTTGCGACTCGACCCACTGGAAACCATGTTTCGCTATGGGAGTTTCGGCAAAGCTCAAAAATAGCAGATTTTTTAGCGATTTTCGTCACAAAACAACTCAGAAAAATAACCCAACAAATCTAATCCATCCAAAAAAATGCAAAAAATTGAGAGCTTTTGGAAGTTTAAGCAATGATTTATCAAGCTATGGGTTGCGATTTTTCTTGGCACAAAAAAAGTGTGATTTTGTATTAAAAATAACATAAAACAGTGGGAAAATAACAAGGGAACAAAAACCTCTAAACCAATTTTCGTTTTACATCAATGAAACAAGATTAATTTAAAGAAAAATTGAAACTTTCACAATATGAACCCTATGTTTCGTAACAATACATTTATGAACAAAATTCCTTCGCTATAGGAAACGATTTCAAACAATTTGTGTTAATAGATCGCTAAAAACTTATTTTTCAAAAGCCCCAAAGCAATTTAAGGTTCCAATGTATCGATTGAAAACAATTTGAGAACTTTTCTAAACTTTCATATAATAAATCCCATAAATTCAAATTCGAAATTTTCTTAGAATACTCAATGAAAACATACCTATAATATATGGTTAGAAAACTCTTATAACGTAAAACAAAATCCCAAGGTTTCCAAGATCAATCGCAAAAAATTCCAAACAAAATTTTATCATGAACTTTAGGTTCTATATGCAAATTTTGAATTATTTTAATAAATAAATAAAATTATGGGTCTTATAATCATATATGTATAGCTCAAAATACCAAATGAAGAAGATAATTTTTAACCCATTGGTCAAACCCAATAAAAGGAACAAGAAGATGCTAATGCATGGAGGGCTAGTATAGATACGTGGAGAGCTGCTACTTAGTAGGACTTTAAGTTACATCAAATTACTGATTGAAAAAATTACATTAGATTTTATTTTTTTATTAACATCATTGCATTTCTTCGTAATTTTTTTATTGACTCTTGTAATTTCAAATGTTTGTTAAAAATTCATATGGTTTTTTAAAATCTTATAAATCTATATTACCCTTTCAAATATTATAAATTCTATTAAAATACTTTAAAATCCAATCTTATAAAATCTTGACTGTAAAAAAAATCTTTTAAAAAGTCTTTAAAGTTACAACAATTCTAGATAGTTATAACACCCTATTACATACCAGTGTGTTATCAACTTATCACTACGTATGATATTAAACGTAGTTGTAATCATAATAATTCAATTAAAATACGGCTGAACTTTTCTTTTTTAAACGTTGCATATTTCTAACAATAATTATCATATTCAATTTAAGCCAAAAATGCAATTGCAACACAGTGACACTGCGAAATAATTAATTCTAACTTAAACATATCATACTTGTCCTTTTAGACACAACTATGGGGTTCCCATATAGCCCACAACACCTTTTTTTTATTTTTCAGCAAATTGGGCAACTCACTGAGCTCCTCGTTGTAGCGAGCAATTTGCTCCAGCTCGCTGTATTGCTCACTGAAGCGAGCACTACAACGAGAAAATTAATTCCTCAGGCAATAAGGGTGGTAAACGAACCAGGGACCTTTGACCTGGCTCGTGAAGACCGGAGCTTACATATCTAATATCTGTTGTTAGAATCAGGCTTTGATTTGTATAAAAGCTCGTTTAATAAAAGGGCATCGGGCTCTAATTCAAAAGCCCGACTTTAGAGTTTCTCATGCTGACCTAATATACTAAATTTTATTTTTATTTTATATTTTTTATACTATTCATAATAGCCTCTCTCTCTTCTCAATCCATTTCACTCCATTTTATTGGTTAAACAGATTTTTTGAATGATTTGTTCTATATTATATTGTTTAGGTATATATTGAATTTATGAATCTTTGTGGAATATATATATATATATATATATATATATATATATATATATATATATATCTAGGGCTTATCGTTTCTCAAGCTGCTTGAGATAATCTTATCTCCGGCTACTA